AGATAAGCATATGTAAATGCAGCTGCATAAAATTGTTGTATCAACACCCAGTTCTTTCTGTGCTGTGCCTGATTTTGAAGGTAAATGTGTTGCCTAGTTCTGAAGGGATGGACAGGCTGCAACTGCCTCCTGGTCTTTGACTTCAACCACATACCTGGGTCTTTTTTCTTTTTGATGAGGCTTTAAGTTTTCCCAGATGTAAGCCAAAATTTATTATGTGCCATTCTGCACGTGCAGAGTGCATGGATAAATACCTTTACTAGTGTCTTGCTTGTTTATATGAAGCAGCCTTTGGCCATTCTGTGTCATAGTTCCTTGTAGTTTTAAAAATGCCAACTGTAGCTGGAGTAGGAAAGTTGTTCTGCAGAAAGCTTCATTATAGTGGGATTGGAACTGGGTGTGCTGGAATAGTTCTGTCTTTAGAAGTTAGTTTATAGCTCAGCTTAATCCTTTACATGCCCTCAAATCTGTAGTCTGTTAGACAACTGTCTACAGAAATATCTTTGGATTTCAGCAGATTAGTCCTCAGAGTTTATTTTGGAAAAATACAGAGATCCTAAAAATGGATGGACTGCCTCACTGGAAAATTGTAAATGGCATGGATATTTTATTAGAGAGGTTATAGAAAAATCAGTCTCTTCTGATGATATGAACAGCTTAGTTAGTAAAAGTGATAATGAAGAAGGTAGAATTAGCCATGTCTTTATCGTGGGCACTAGCTCAGGAAGTAAGACAGATGGGTTTTTTTTCACTGTCTTATTTGAAGGCTGGGTCAGCCTTCATATTTTTTTCAATTTAACTTGAAAATTAAACAGTATTTTTTAAACTATCTGTATTTAATTTCTGGTGGATTAATGCTAGAATCAACACACATTTTCATTATCTTATCCATTTGAACTGGACTTACAGAAATTTATTCCTAGGGCTATCATGCAAGCCAGGGTTAGAGAAAAGGAAAAAAAAAAGCACTTCTGTAATCACTACTGATTTAATTATTCTTATTTACATGTGGTTTTTTCTTCGTTCTGGTACACTTTTTTTACATTAATGCTGCAGAGATGTCTTCCCCATTAAGTAAAATCATCTAGTGCAAATGAATATATTTGCAAGGCCCAGTACTGGTTAAGTTTGTCTTTATTTAGAAGGCTTCAATTTCTGTTCAGGATTTTTTGGAGTTTTTGCTTGATATCATCTCATTGATAGCTGTCCCACTCCATAAATGTGTGACAAATTCTGAAATGTGAAGATAATGTGGAAGAAATGTGGAGTCAGGAATGTATTGTAGTTTTCCTTTTGCTGTGGTGTATTGCATTGCAGTCACTTCAGGACAAAGGAAATCAGTGTTGCTGTATCCATGGGAAAATGCCTTGGAAATAGATTAAAACCTGTTAAAATAATTGGCCTGGATTTAGTGGCTCTGTCAACTGAAGCAATGCAAATAACTTCTGAGTCTTGGAACTGAATGGCAGCAGGGCAGGGGGAGGGGAAAAGGCTGATTAGGAAGAAACAGGAGGAGGATTAAGCCAAACTTTCCCAGATTAGTGTGCTTAGCAATGCAGTATTACCACTAGGTCAGCAGAGCACTTTGCTTGCTTCCTGTTCCTTATGCAATGGAGTGTGTTTCAGCTTGCCAGCTTAACTTGATTTGTTTACAGTTTTTGGGTGTGTGTCTGTTTCATTTTGATTTTTGTTTGTTTCACAAATGATACAATGAATGATTTTGTACATCTAATGGGAAGGAAGTCTGGCAGGTGTTAGGAGGGAGGATGAAGGACCCAGGATTAATTTTTCCACATGGGTAGAGATGGAGTAACAAGTTTGTGGTGTTCTGGCACAAAGAACTGAGCCAATAAATGAAAAATGTGACTAGCTGGCAGCAGTGGATTGTGAGTAATACATGGAACTGTTGTCCCCAAATCAGCATGAAATCCCAAAGTAAGCTTTGTGTCAGGCACACCTCTTAATTTGTTCTGTTTCTGGAGTAGTAGGCTATGAATGTCTGGGGTCTCTAATTAACTGTTGTTAGCTAGTTGTGTATTTGGTAAGATGTTGTTCATTTGCACCCCTTTGAGATTCTGGTGGTTTCCGTATTCTCTCATTATCCTGTCACATACTGGAGACCACTCCTGGGGAGTGGTGATCCCTGGAAGATGCTTATTTCACACACTTCTTTACACTGCCCATCTTCAAACTGCCCTACACAGACGAGTAGTGATGGCTTTTGATTATTAAGTGAGGAAATTGAGGATTGAGTCTAAAAACCAAACTGGTAGAAGCTTTGTGGATGGTGAACAGAAAAGAACAGGGTGTCTTTAGCCAGGGTTTTTTTGGGATTGGGGATTTTGTTTGTTTGTTTTTATCAGCCCATTATTCTGAAGCTTCTTTTAGTGTTAGCAGATTTAAACCAGAAGCAGGTATTTTCCAGATTCAGAGCAGAGCACAAAACTGCAGACTTGGCAGGAATAAGTAAATGGAAGCAAATGGGGAAAAGAGGCACATTTCTGATACTTGGTTTATTTCAAAAGATTTCTCTCACCCTGATCCAGCTGTACAACTTAACAAGTGGCATCACAGTCGCTGTGTGAGGACGTAGAGCTGGGTAAGAACTGCAAGAAGACTATCTTTGAGATTATGTTTATGAAAAAGGTGCCAAATCTGAGAACCTCTGCTTCTTTTTGTAATCTTAACTTCCTCCCACATGCATACAAACAAACCCTTTTAATGTCTTCAGTATGCTTGCAGGGTGTCCTGTCCTCCCTGCCATAAACTCACTGCTTTGAAGGTGGCAAAGTCTCTCTGGTGTTACTGCTTGGGGAAAAATAATTAAGGCTCATTCCTATCCATGCCTGAGCCCTTAACAGAGTTTGGTTTTTATCATAAGGCAGAACACCCTTTTCCATCCTCTAGCTTGGGAAATACTTAAATACCAAGTATTTGTGTAAAGCCTTTTCATTAAAAACTATATATTATGCATAACCAACCTGCAGATCTTACAGGAATCATTGGCATTATTTTGTGTGGAAGTGTAGTGCTTATTACTAATTGGGCTGGGACAAGAAATAAGACTAATCTGTCACTGTGAAGTGAGAGTAGTCATGGGGCGTGCATGATCTGAGCATGGGCTCACATCATCTCAGCTCTGAGCTCTGTTGGTGCCTCGGAAGCCTCTGCTGTGCCACCTCCTCCTGCCTGGGAGTGTTACCACCGTGGTATATAAGTCGGTCAAAATCACCTTGTCCAGCTTTTCCTGTCCTGTGTTCACATGCAGCAGCTGGTAGCTGCTGTGGCTGGTTTGGTTTGGCTTTTTTGGCTTTTCCCCTGAGCACCTGAGCACACATTAACAGTGGCTGGATGTTGGGCTCTGCTGCCGGATGAGCCGCGTTCCTGGCGTGCCCAGGCAGAGCAGGAGCACCAGGCTGCCATGCAGTGTGTCACAGGTGGCAGCAGGCCAAGGCAAAGGGTGTCTCAGGGTCTCTGGCCCAGATAGTTCACTGTGCTGGGCTCTGCTTGCTCAGGATGACAAGGGACAGTAAGAGAACACAAGCTCTGTCCTAGTTTTAATGGTTTTCTGTATCAGCCCTAGTATAAAGGGTTCTGTTAAAGCAGTTCAGAGGTTTGCTCCTAGTTTTACAAACTCTCTATCACCTTATATATTTGGAGACAGGAATAGTTTGTTAAGGTTTAAAATTTAATTTAAAGTTACTAGTTCTCTGCATTTTTGAGGATGAGAAGGATCTGATAGGGGTTAAGACAGATGTCAGTTACCCCCTTCCCTTTTTTCTTTTATTATTGTTGTGAGTCCTTGTTAACAAATCAGGGACAGAGCAGTTGATATGCTAGTGTTAGGAATACATTAATTAAAGATTGACATATCCAAGTGCTTGTCTGGTTTTTCCAGCTGTCAAGTAAAATTATACACCTTCCCTACAAATCTTACCTGCTGTAAGCACATCTTAAGTGTGTTTATTTTCAGGAGAAGAGAGATGGTCCGGTTTGTGCTCCTGTAGCCACTTAAAGTGCTGTAATTACATTGGTACATTGTAAGCATTCCTGAGCATGAATGCATTATGGAGGCAACTCTTCTGGTTCACTTTATTGATGTAGGTTTTGGGGAGAGATGATTAACCAGTATGAAACATTCTTATGCTGGTATGCCAACCCAAGTACTTGAGGTTGTTCTAGTTTTGTTATATTCTTGTGATGGGGGGAAACCCAAGGCTAAAACCAAATCCCCAAATCTTAGCGCTATTCAAAGTAGTTAAACTGTAGCTCTGAAGTATATACCTCTTACTGCTGCTTCTCTGTTGTCATGGTTTAAGCCCAGCTGGAAATTCTGCCATCCCCATCTGTGGGGCTTGCTCAACCCAATTTCTATTCCTCTCACCCCAGTAGAATGGGGAGGAGAATCAAAGTAAAACTTGTATTTTGAGATAAAAGAAGTTTAATAATTGAAAACAAAGTAAAATACAATAATAATGGTAAAATATAATAATGGTAATAAAAAGGAAAACAAAAAATGCACATTGTAATTGTTCACTGCCCACTAACTGATGGCAGAGCTCCCCTCCTGAACCCAGACTGGCCTCCCTTTAGGGTACTTGCCCCAGTTTATTTACTTGGCATGATGTTCTGTGGTGTGGAATATCCGTTTGGTCCTTTTGGGTTGTCTGTCCCAGCTGTGCTCCCTCCCAGTTTCTTTTGCGTGCCCTCTCAGTGGCAGAGCTGAGACAAGGAAAAAAATCCTTTACTTAAGATAAACACAACTTCCCAAAAATCAAAAAAATCAGCGTGTTTTCAGCACCATTCTTCCTCTGAATCCAAAACACAGCACTGTAACAGCTGCTGAGGAGAAATCAACTCTATCTAAATGAAAGCAAGACATTGGTGCAGGTATTTTGGGACTACTGTTTGCACACAGCTGAATGTTTGTGTTATGTTGGGTTGTAAGTAGGTTCAGATTCAGTCAAGAGTCTGGTTACAAAGTAGTGGTAACAGCAGCACAGGGGACCTTTGATTATTTCTATTAACATGTCATTTTTGTTTGTAGAATGAAATGTGTCTTGCCACACAACAGCTTTCGAAGCAGCTCCTTGCCTATGAAAAGCAGGTAGGTTCAGCTTTGACATGACTTCGATTTCTTTTCTCCCTCAACACTCATGAAAAAGTCTGTAAACTGTGTTTTCTGGAAGTGCTCCAGGCGTTTGCTTTACTTGGTTTCATGTGAAGGCAGTTATGAATTTCCCCAGGATGTTCAAGGGACTTGGGTCATTTCTGAGAATCTTAAAAAAAGAGAAGAACCAGATTAAAAAAAACCCTAAAAAGGTACAAAATCTGAGTTAATAAATTTATGAAGATACAAGTCAGTTTGTTCCAGTTCTATGACTTTAAAATTACTATAATAAGAATTAAATGTTGTCCAAAATCCATTCATTTAACACAAGAAGTGCAGGGTAAAGAATATATATTTATGAGCTTCTGTTTATACATTTATTTTTATAATTTGTTGCATTTTGTAGAAATATTAATTAGATTTGTAGTAAAACATATATTGTATTTTATATTTATCTTTATTGATTTATGGACCAAATGTATGTTTCTATTTCCAGCATTTTGCCTTAGGTAAAGGAGATGAAGAAGTGCTATCCACACTCCATTATGCATTTTGTAGAAATATTCATTAGATTTGTAGTAAAACATATGTTGTATTTTATATTTATCTTTATTGATTTATGGACCAAATGTATGTTTCTATTTCCAGCATTTTGCCTTAGGTAAAGGAGATGAAGAAATGATATCCACACTCCATTATTTTTCAAAAGTTGTGGATGAGGTAAATTAAATTGCTGATATTCTCTTTTTACAATACAGAATATTAGAGTTTTTTCTTTGTGTTTCTCCTTTTGATTCACAGCCTTCCCATTGAAGGCTAGATTGTGCCTGAGTTTTAGAGTCATTTAATTCTGGATAAAGAAGTTTGATACTACCCTTCCATAATGGTTAGAGCTGTTTCTGTGGCTTCATCATATAGTCTATCCCTAGAGCAAAGCTGAACTTCCTAAGGGAACTTATAGAGAGACTAAAACAGGACATGTCATCTAGGCTAGGGCAATCTTTTATATAATTCCCTATTAAAATGACACATTTCTAATCTTTAAACACTGGAGTTAGAGCCAAAACTTGCCAGGTCTGGATGCAGGGCAGCTGTGACTTGGTAGATTTGCAGTTTAGTTGCTGTGAGATCATGCAGGATCCCGAGATGTCTGGGGAAGGCTGCAGTACGGTGTGGTGAAGACAGTGAAGCTGTGTGCAGTGAATACCCCCATGTCCTGGATGTTTCTGCTCGGTACTGGGAGTGTTTGTAAATGCTTTTGTTAGACCTACCCATATAATATTTCAATATAGCCTTGGTATCCAGATCCTTGCTTAGGTTTCATTTGTCAAATCACTCTCTGCTGTGAGCAGTGCTGTGCCATCAGAAAAGTCTGTTCTTGTTGGTCTACTTCCAACTTTGATTAAGAAGGCAAAAGGCTGTACTGAGTTCTGCTGTGTGGGAAAGGAGAGAGGGACAAAAAGTAAGTCACAAATTTTAGAGCCCATGGATAACTTTGAGGAGGTAGTGAGAGGAATCCCAAGGGTTTACTTTTTTTTTTAGGCTTTTCTTGTTGCATGTGTTCTGAGGATACTTGAAAGGAGCATTTATCACAAGTCTTGTAATTACTTATGTGAACTCCAGAGAGATCAAAACAAAAACTTTCTCCTTCCCAGGTTCAAGAGAATGGTGCCATTTGGGGGCAGTAAGCTGAAAGCCTCTGCTCAGCTCTGTCAGTCATATTTTTCCTCACAAGAACTTGCTCTGTTCCTTGGCCTCCTCTGTGTGTTAGCTTCCCCTTGTGCCTGTTTCAGTTGTCTGTTCTATCAGCTTTGAATTGTATTGTCTTGTGGGAAATCCTTAGTTCATCCCTACCTGGGATGAGGCTGCCTGGAGGCATCCAGGACACTGGCAGGATGTCACCTGTTAGCAAACAAGCAGGATGTTACCTCCACATGTCCAGCTGTCCTACCTGCTCCCATCTCATATTCTTAGCAAGCCACTATTGTCATGAGAGCCTTGTCATTCTAAATGGTGCCACACAGGTGCTTTAAAACAGCTGTATGCTGAAGTTTAGAAACACAAAAACAGGAGTGGGGAACTGCTGTGATGGTAGAATATTTGAATGGGACCTTTTGTTGCAGTTGCCCCCTGTTGTGATTGTGTCCTGGTTAACCCTTGTTCAAGGAAAGACACTATAGTTGTGGTGGTGGGACTGTAACTCCATGGCATTGAGAGTTAACAAAAACAGGTTAATAAAGGATAATTACAGTTTAAATCCTTTTGAGTTAAGCATTAGAATTAATGGTCAAGTGAATTGCCCTAATCCGTTATGTGGGAACTGAGAAGTTCTTGGATCCTTAGGAAGTACCAGGCAGGAATGAAGCATTTAGGGAGACATCCCCACCTGTCTCCGATACCTTGAGAAGTGTATTTCAAGCATTGAAGTACATTATATCCACTGGACACAAATGGCTGGTGTGTTTTGATGTTCTCTGTGGTCTGGGTTTTTTTATTTACATTGGGTCTTAGAACAATTCTCTGTTTCAGCTCAATATTCTTCATTCTGAACTGGCAAAACAGCTTGCAGATACAATGGTTCTCCCAATAATACAATTTCGAGAAAAAGATCTCACAGGTAAATTTTATTCTAAGTTTCTGTTTTCCTTATATGCTCCTTCTTGTTTATTTCATTATAAACTGAGATGTTATGCCATGTATTAATTTGTTCTTTGATGATTCACAGAAAAGTTTGTGGGGTTTTTTTTTTCTGCTACAGAATTTCATTGACAGGTGCATGCTCTTACTCAGACAAAACCAAGTTCACCACATAACATTTTATGCACCATATGGTGCAAGTTTAAAAATACACAGGCTTTGTTCTTTGTTGGGTCACTGTGCTTTTATACCACTGTAATCTCACTGAAGTCACTGAAGTTAAATTGCCAGAAGGGAAATTTAGCAGTGAATCAGGCTTACAAACAGTGTTTATTCCACTTCAGGAGTTTGGGGTTGTTTGACAAGCACAAGCAAGAATGTTGTTTTAATTTCAGAGAATAGCATATTCCTTCCTTTTTAAGGAATAAATCCTCTTTAAATTCTTGCCATGCAAGGTCAGTTCCATGCAAGTTACCTGATTTCACGATACTGGGATTTCATTACTTAAACAGCAAGGCAGTAGCAAAAACATTTGATGTAATTACAAAAGAAAAAAGCTCATATTCAAGGTCAAAGACAGTCTTACCTACTTATGCAACATAAATGTGAGGTTTTTCAGCAGCATTTCTTTCTCGGTCTGTCTCTCGGTCTGTCTCTCGGTCTGTCTCTCGGTCTCTCTCTCTGTCTCTCTCTCTGTCTCTCTCTCTCCCCACTGCTCATTTCAGTTGTTGCAGTCCCACTTATGTTCTTCTTGTAGACATCATTTTGATGTGAGACAAAATGACTACAGCAAAATAGTGACTGGTTTAAGTTCCTTATAGGATCTGATTGGAAATTGTGAGGCCATCCAGATGTCTAACAATACGTTTTCTAGCATATACTGTCAAATATAAAGCAGAATTTGGATGGTAAGATGTTGATGATATAAACACTTCCTCACCTCTTTCATGTGGCCTCAGATATAGTACTTATTTTTCCATATTTATGGATTTTTCCCTCTTGTTTATTAAAAAAGATACAAAAATGCATATGAAGCCTGCAACCAAAGCTTCAACTGCTGCATGACAAAAAATGAAAGTTTCTTCTACGTCCTTGGATGTCAGTTTTTTCAATTTTTTTTTTTAAATTCTATCCATCACATTTTCTGATGCAGTCTGTAGAAGAGCATTTTTAGTAGAGACCTGGCCACACTGGAATTTCATAGAGGGATTAAACAAGGAAGCAAGGAAGAATTAACTGTGTTACTGTTTTTACTTTTGATCCTGTTACATCTATACATTGAAGATTGTAGAAACCCCTAAATACAAATCAGTTACAAGTGGAAAAGTCTTCTGTCTTTCTGCATCTGAGTCATAATGAAGCATTCTGGGGGAAAAATGGTGGAGTGAAACTGATTAATGAGTAGGATGTTAAAAATAATCGAGAGACCATGATGACATCTTACAATTTCCCCTTGGTATTTTTACAGTTGCATAATGTCTGTTCATGTAAATGTGCTTTCTTTGTAGCTTTTTCAGTGAATTTTTGCCAGTTGCAGCATATGTTGGTGGGGACACTTAAGAGTAACTTGTGCCCAACACTTGTGAAGTTATGTTGCCTGTTTAAGTCTGTCTTCTCCCTATCTGTATCAGAATCTCATGGCCAGTGTTTGTAATGCAAGCATCATATCCAGCAGTCAGGTGTGTTAGATAAGGATTTCTTTTCACAGAGCAGCTTAGCAAGAATGGTCCACAGTGAGGGAGTTCCATGTACAGGAAAAAGGCTTTAATTCTTACATCCGTGGGTCTTAAATTGCTGGGTATCACATAAGCACTGTCAGGTTGTTCAGAACGGCTGATCTTGTATGATAGTGGTGGGCCTTTGTCAGAATAAACATAGTCAAATGGTGCTTCTTTGGAGAAATGACATGGGCAGATAGGGCATCTTTCTCAGAGTGGCAGCTTGCTCAGTAAAATAAACTCACTCCACCCTTAATTAGCTAGCTGCCTTTTCATTTCTCTAGCAGCTGATCTACTTTAGCATTTTCAAGATAAGCACAAAGTATGCATCTCTGCTGTGGAAGGGCTGGAGTGACTTGGACAGTAAATATGCCATAACAGGTCTCAGTTGAACAAAATGTTCACAGCTGATTTTACTTTGAATATTTGATTTCTCTTTTCCAGAAGTAAGCACACTGAAGGATCTCTTTGGCCTTGCTAGCAATGGTATGTGTCCCTTTTTTGTTTATATTCATATGCAGCTGTTAGAGCAAAGAAGACATGTGTAATCTGTGCACATACACATCACATTTCTTAAAAAAAAATAATATTCCTTGTCTACAGAACATGACGTGTCCATGGCAAAGTATAGCAGGTTACCGAAAAGGAAAGAAAATGAAAAGGTAACAAATGTGAAAGGGCAAATAGAATGTTTTCATCAGCCATTCTGCAAGTCTGCATCCTTGTTCATTGTGAACTTTGGGGAGTTCATTGCTTAAATTCACAGTAGCTCAAGAATACTTGTGTTTTCATTTCCAAGCAGACACAAAGCTTTTAAACATCAACTCAGCACTTACACCTGGTTTCTCCAAGTTAAGCAAGTGATGAAATATTGTGCTCAACTAGAGCCCTCCAGATCCATGGGAGCTTTTCAGATAAAGGCAATCCAAGTGACTATAAATAGCTTTGTATAGGCCTAGTGTTGTACAGCTGAGGTGGTGATGCAGCATCACTGAGAACAATTCATTGTGAGCTGCCATGAAGCCTTGTGTCTGCTGTTCCTAAAGCTCTGCATTTCTTCGCATGTACCCTCCTGTGCAATTACTCTGTGTGGCCTGTCATTCACCTTAACAATGCCCATAACTCTCTGGGTGGGATTGCTCTACATTCCTCCTTCTTTGCCCACTGGACTGCTATTCTAAAATACATCCCTTTGTCAAAAAGTGTATGGCTGGCCTTGTCCTGAGAGTGAATCTGTTCTACAGGATGGTTCTTGAAAGGAAATGCCTTACAGAGCACAATGTGATATAGCATACTGTGAATTACTCACCTCTGAATTCTGCACTAGCAGGCTTGTGTTGTGATCTCAGCTGCAAATAAATTTCTTGCACAGAGATCTGATCCAGATTTTTAGTGGTGGTAGTTACATAGTTTCTAGTCACAGGGGCTTCCTAAATGTTTAAGTATCATGACAGAGAAGAGTTGGAAGTACTTGCTTTGGGTTTTCAATTTGCTTTCTTTGTTTCTCATCCTTCATTTTAACCTGGAGAAGTTCTGTAATGAGAGTGATTCAAAAATAACTCAAAGATGATCAGTAAATATATCCATATACTCAGTAACACTCTATCAACCTCTCTATTATTTTTTGTTCAGCTTAAGGCAGAAGTTGCAAAAGAAGTGGCAAATGCAAGAAGAAAGCAGCACCTTTCATCCTTGCAATATTACTGTGCCCTGAACGCTCTGCAGTACAGGAAGAGAGTGGCTATGATGGAACCTATGCTAGGATATACACGAGGACAGGTATTGACAGTGAAGTGTCTGTATCACTTAGATGTGTTCCTGGGAAAGGTAAAATGTTGTGGTTCTGGATTTATTTTGAGACTTGACAAATTACAATGAGGGTGGGGGAGAAACAATTTGCATTCAGCTTGCCTAGATTATAACAATAGATTTTGTTTGTGGCAGATAGTTGAATGTTTAGATATTCAGGAAAGAAAAAAATGAAAAGAAAATCCAATACACTTCTATGCAAAATCAGCCTAGGGGTTTTTCACAGCTGAGCTAAATGTAGTAGCATTTACTTCCACTGTTTACTCAGTCTGCACAAACTCTCCTATGTAGCAGTTCCCTTCCTGGCACATAATGTTCAGCATACTGATGAGGAGTGTGCACGATGAGGAGCAGAGCATGCTCTGGAGAGCTGGAAGGACAGAACAGTAGAGAAGATTGAGCACAAGGCTGGAAAATCCATTTTCTAATTTTTGTTCTAACAGCAGTTTGATAGAACTTTTCTCAAGTCTGATAGTCTGACCCTCCAGGATATCAGGAGGATCAACAAACCAGTATTATCACAGCACTTGATTCTCACTATCACCCATTTTAAGGGTCTTCGATTTTGATGAAAGAAAGTGTTTGGAAAATAAGAATTGGGCTATGAAAAGAGGAAAAGCGGATGTGGTGTTCTGTTTGAGATTGTAGTGTGGCTCATCATCATCTGCATACTTCTGTCTTTTGCAGCCCATGTGCCTCATT